TTACCAGTTCCTTCCCGGATCTGCCTTGGAGGCAAGCCGGAGTTAGGAGCTATGGAAGAACTATGAGGCCTTCCATGTGGCTGCAAGAATCCAAGTTACTTGAAGATATTACTGGGGCTTGAAGATATTACAAGAGGTTGGAGTCAGGATTGAGAGGTGAAAAATGGAGCATAGCCACTCCAATGTGGAGTACAGGTGTCTTAACCACTTGGCTAAATGTGTGCCCCTATCAGTTCTTTAGATCTCATGATAATTAAGTTTTTCTTAATCTGAGAGTGTTGTGGTGTTCCTTCCCTTTTCTGAAAGCTTGATAGTTTTCTTTCTTCATTGAAAAATGTTGTACCGCTTTCTACTTGTCTCACTGGAAATCTATTTTCAGATGGTTTTGCACATATATAGAGTGCATTGTTTGTGTCTAGCTGTATCTAAGATTTTGTTCTCTGAGAGTGGTTTTTAACCTAGGGATCTAACACGCGCAACACAAACATACACACACATACATACACACACACGTGTCCCACATTGGAGTAACTGGATTCAGTACCTGACTCCAGCTTCCTGCTAATGCAGAACCTGCCAGACACCTGGCGATAGTTTAAATAACTGGGGAATTGCCACCCTCATGGAAGGCCTGGGTTGAGTTCTTGACTCCTAGCTTTAGCCCAGCCCAGTTTCTACCATTATAGACATAATGGGAGTACATCAGTAAACGGAGTTTCTCTGTCCCTCCCCTAACCTCTTAAATGACAACAGTGGTTATGATGATTTTGTTTTTCTCTAAGCTTTTGGAGTTTTAATTATGATGTTTCTTGGTGTGGATTTCTTTGGATTTATCTACAGGTTGGATTGCTTTACTTCTTGAATTTGTAGGTTTTATCTTAATGCCATATTTGAAAAACTTGAGGCCGATTTTTCTTTTTTCTTTTTTTTTTTTTTTCGATTTTTCTTTGAATGCTTTTTCCAGCCCACACTTTTGTCTCCTATCCTGAGACACCAAAAGAATATGGCTCAATAGGTAATTTCTGTTACTCTATGTTCAAGGTCACTGATTCTCTGTACTTTTTATTCTGCCATGGATCACATCCAGTGAGTAGAGTTTATTGGTTATTGCATTTTTTTTCGGTTATAAAATTTTTAATTAATTTTGTTCTTCTATCTGCTGAGACATCTTTTATTTTTTTTTTATTTGTTGTAAGCATGTTGCTAAATGCTGCTTCAAGTAGTTTGTGATGACTCCTCCAAAATCTTTGTTAGTGTTCTGATACCTGTCTTAATCTGATATTGGAGTCCTGAGTGTAGTATTCAGACTGATGTCTTACTGTTGTTGATTTCGTAATTGATTTTCGAAGCCTGGGCATTGAGGTATTGTGAGATTCTGAATTTTAGGTAAATCTTCTGTTTAGCAGGCCTCCTCTGACACTACTTAACTGGGGCAGGGGTACTGCCTTATCACTGCAGGTGGGGATGGAGACTAGGTTCCCACCTCTGCCTCCCTGATTCCCGGGATAACGGATTCCTCATTACTTCTGAGTATTGTGGAAGTTTAGACTCCTCAGTAAGATGAAAGATAGTATAGACTGGGGATAGAATATTTGCAAAGTGCGTATTCGACGAAGGCTCATGTCTGCAATATATGGAGGACTCTTAAAACTCAAACTCATTAACAGGGACAGTCCAAATTTAAAATGTGTAAAAGACATGAAGCAGAAAAAAAAAAAAAAGACATTAACCAGAGGAAACACAAATGGCAAATAAGTGCATTAAAAGGTACTTAATATTTTCGTTTTGGCAATGCAAATAAAACTGCAGTGAAATATCACTACATGTCTGTTAGAATAGCTTGAAGATAACTAAAATAATGATGATATTATGTTAAGAATGTAGAGGAACTGAGTCACAGCTACTGTGTTGTTAAGTTCCACATAGACTTGTCGTAATACTTAGCAGTTGTACTCACGGGCATTTATCCCACAGACATGAAATTTTATATTCAGCTGTATGACATTTTCAGTTCATCTTTGCTCACGATAGCCTGCACTGGGTGTCTGAATTGTGTATGTCTATGGAATACTACACAGCAATGGAAGGGCTATTATGTATGCAATAGAATAGGCTATTATGTATCAACAACCTTCATGAATATCAAAGGTTCAATTTCAAACGGTTACATATTGTATGTTCAGTTTAAATAATATCTTTGGGCCCAGTGCAATGGCTCAATTGCCTAATCCTCCACCTGCAAGTGCTGGGATCCCATATGGGTAACAGTTCACATCCCAGCTGCTCCACTTTCCATCCAGCTTCCTTCTTGTAGCCTGGGGAAGCAGAAGAGATGGCTCAAGGCCTTGAGAACCTGCCCCCGTGTGGGAGACCTGGAGGAGGCTCCTGGCTCATGGCTTTGGATTGGCCCAGCTCTGGCCGTTGTGGCCACTTGGAGAGTGAACCAATGGATAAAGATCTTGGTCTCTCCTATTCTCTGTAAATCTGGCTTGCCTTTCCAATAAAAATAAATAAATCTTGTGACTAAATTATAGTGAGCAAGAACAAATAGTAATCACCAGAGAACAAGAGTGAAAGCAGTGTCGAGGTCAGTTGGAGTGGTTCTGTGTTTTGATTGTGGTGGTAGTTGCACAAACCTAAAGATAGAGTAAAATTGTGTGAAACAATATAGACAGACACATAGGGTACTATAAACAAGCTTAAAATTATGAAATCTGAAGGAGTTCTGTAGTTAATGGTGATGTGTCAATATTAACCTCCTGATTTTGGTTCTGAATTATAGCTAGATAAACTATATTTCTTTCCTTTTTAAAATTACTTTTATGAGAAAACTGACAGTACCCAGTTATTAGATGTAGTGCCATAATTTGGCAGTATGTTAACCATTATTTTCCTACTAGTAAAAACACGGGACAGGTGACTTCCACAGGCTCTACACACTTACAAGGAGATTCCCAAATTAGACCCAATCCCAATATATTTTCAAATACAATTGCACAACTCTGTTGGTGATATGGTAGTTTCAGTCACCACTCACTATGGCTGTGGCAAAAGCATGATGGACTGTGGGTAATGAGAATTGCATGTTAGGTATATCACTTTTTTCTCCTACTCAGTGAAGTTAGAGTGCAAGCGAAGAAATACAGCCTTATTACTATAGAGAACCTTTTGAATCTTTTCAAATTTATTTAAATCACTTGTACATTTGAGAGCATCCATTTTGGGGTTCATAACAAGTATATAGTCCTGCCTTCTAAGCTGGTAATATGGCTGTATGGTGAACTAGAAAAAGCTCTGACTTCAAATGTCAGACCTGAATTTTAGTTCTGCTTACGATTCAAGCCATTTAAATCTCATGGCGCCTGGGTTTCCACAGCTATAGGATTAATACTTATTCATCATTATTTATTGTGGCTCTTACCTTTGTGAAAGTTATTTGGCACCACACCTGACTCATATAGCTGTTGTCCACTAAGCTTGTTTTACCATAAAAGGTTTGTACAAAAGCAGTAAATCATGCACATATTTGTATGCATAGAAGTAAAGTGAATGAGAAGTATATCACAGAAGTGATAAATACTGGAGCATAATCTGTAAAATAAAAGGAGATAGAACCTAGATAGGGCCAAAAGGCATTATATTAGAAATGGGATTCAAATTGGGCTTTGAAAATTGGAAAGGTGGAAACTATTCAAAAACAAGTACAAGTCCAAGGTTATGTGATTAAAAGAAAATTAGAGTTGAGAAATGTGTACTATTTGGGACCTCCCATATATTCTATTAGATAGTGTTTTGGAAGTTGAAATCTTTAAATTTTTAAGCGGTTTATTTCAAAATGTTACATTCTTCAGTGCATTCCTGCTGTATAGTTTAACAAGTATTGTCAACTATGAAGACACTTGCTCTTACTGTATTACCTGGAAATCTTGATTAGTAAGATTGACATAATTTCTATCAGCTGTAGCTAAACTTCTTAGCAATAACCTCTCATGTTTAACAAAAGTGGATGGAATAACAACAAATTATAAGTGTGAATTGGAGTATCAATGTTTTTATGAAGGCTTATAGAATTCTCTCTCCTTTTTATTAATGTGTGTTAATTTATTCTTTAAAGAAAGCTGTGGCAGTCTTTTAACAAACTCGCTGTTCCCAAATGGTGGTTGATTTTTTTTTTCCTATGTAGTAAATGTAGAGATGTGGAACACGATGGCTAAATATTTGCTTTGAATATATAAAAGCATTGTACTGCTAATAGCCTCTTTGGTGTATTCCCATGGATAAATATGTTGGTTAAAAATTAAAAAAAAAAAGAAGTAGCTTGGTTATTAAAAACAAAGTTTGATATTCAGTGAATTTTGTATGCTGTTAGAGAAAAGAATCTTTTTATGGAGCACTAAGAAATATGTGTGATTTTGGGGAGGGGGTGCTGTAGTGAATTAGCCATAGATGCTTGTCATTTTTCTGTTTTTGAGATCCTTTTTGTTATACAATTCTGGTTTTACCATTTCGGTGAAAAATCATATTTAAAGACGTTTGTTGAATATATACTGCATCCAAAGCTTTGTGCTCAGCGTGAATGAGACAAAAAGAGTAATGCGATACAGACTCTGAAGAACCTAGTCACAGGGGAAAATATGTGCACAAATAACTGCAGGAGAAAGCAGTTTGCTATACTTGCCTTGAGCTTTGTAGGATTTCAGATAACAAAGTGTTTTTGAATGGCTGATCATGGCTGATTATGTTGAAGGTAGAACATTTGACTAATTCACAGAGCTTGTATATGAATATTAACATGGCAGTGTGATGTAGGAGTCCTGAAATGACAGCTCTTCTAATGCCGAAGATTTTATCTTTTATAGATAGAGGAACTGATTCCAATACTAATAAATGGTTATAAACTAAACATTACCATCAATGCTAATTTAAGGTAAATATTTGTGCTTTCATAAAAAAAATTTTTTTACCAATGATAGATAATTGATGTTTTTTTATATTTTTAGGCCATGAATATTGTGGTTCCATTCATGTTTAAATATGCTGTAGACAGCCTCAACCAGATGTCGGGAAACATGCTGAACCTGAGTGATGCACCAAATACAGTTGCAACCATGGCAACAGCAGTTCTGATTGGCTGTATGTGTGATTCTTTAATCTGTCTACAGGTGTTTCTTCAAGAAGGTTTCATCATGTTTGAGCAGATGACCTTTTAGCATGTTTGATATTTATTATTTTATGTGAGATTTTTCTTTGTGTTTTGTTTTCGCTTTTCTTATATGATACACTTAAGAATCTTTGTTAATATGAGCAATTTCCAAGTTCTAGAAAATAATAATATGAAATAAGACATAAAATTCATAACAGCCACTTCTAATAGTTGAGCTTTTATGAGCTATCTTTCTGGTAAAATCAATAATATTATTGCTAGTGTTAACTGTTAAATAGAGAATAAGTAAATATCAGTGTGTATATATACATATATATATATATTGCTGCTTTATTAAAATATATCTAATAGCTGTGACATTAACCTGTTACTATAAGAAAAAAAGAAGAGTAATTTGTTGCCATGTGTTATAAATATCACTTTGGGAGGTATGAATGGGAAATGCTTTTAGTCTACATGATGTTTCAAGATCTTCATTTTGTCATTTGTTTTTGAGGGAACTGAATTAGATCAAAAACCTCAACAGATACTGTGCATTTATCCACAATATGGCTATATGGGCTATTATTTCTTAAGAGTATTCTAATTGGAAAAAAATCTTTCAACATCTGAAATCTAGGGAAAAATAACACTGAAAGGGATCCATGGTGGTGAAAAGGTTAGTATTTATTAGGGTGGATGATTTCTGGGTTGCTTTTAGTGATTTCTGGGTTGCTTTTAGTTAACATGTCTGAAACATGTTAACTAATATTTTCTGAGCCTTTGCCATGTTTAAATGCCTATGGTTCTAATGTTTTTATACCCCGTATTTTCTTTTTAGATGGTGTATCAAGAGCTGGAGCTGCCCTTTTTAATGAAGTTCGAAATGCAGTGTTTGGCAAGGTAGCCCAAAATTCAATCCGAAGAATAGCCAAAAATGTTTTCCTGCATCTGCACAACCTGGATCTGGGTTTCCACCTGAGCAGACAGACGGGAGCTCTGTCTAAGGCAATTGACAGAGGAACAAGGGGTATCAGTTTTGTCCTGAGTGCTTTAGTGTTTAACCTTCTTCCCATCATGTTTGAGATGATGCTTGTCAGTAGTGTTTTGGTAAGTAAAAGATTTTTTTGTACCAACTTTTATAACATTCTTATTCATAGAAATTGAGTATCTGAAGCTGTTGGACTATTACATGATCATGGGTTTGAAATTCCATGACATGAGAAATATTACATAACTTGGTTAGTTCTTTTGCCACAAATCTCAGTGGATAGTTCAAATTCTTTATCACTTTTTAAAGATTTATTTACTTGAAGGACAGAATTAGAGATCTTCCATTCACTCATCATATGATAGTAAACAACTGTTCAGTTCTACAGATAAATTAGTCATTAGCATTTGCAAGATATTTTTAAAGCAGGCATTTTTGCCTAAGACATGAAGTGATAATCTGAAAATATCTAGGTGTCTATTCTCAAAATTTTATACAATTTCATCTTTTGTATTTAAAAGTATACATAGCCACATATACCTCAGTAAAATTTCTCCTCAAATTTATTATAATATTTTGTTAGTAGTATTTAACAATAGTAAAAATGTAGCAAGTTTTTTTAAAAATTTTATTTTTTTTTATTGGAAAGGCAGATATACAGAGAAGGAGATATATAGAGAAAGATCTTTAATCTGTTGACTCACTTCCCAAGTGAACTGAGCTGAGCTGATCCAGGAGCCAGGATACAATTCCAGGTCTCCCATGCAGGCGCAGGATCCTAAAGCTTTGGCCCATCCTCTGTTGCTTTCCCAGACCACAAGCAGGGAGCTGAATGGGAAGTGAAGCAGCAAGGGTACTTAATCAGCACCCATATGGGATCCTGGCAGAAGCTAGATAAGAATTTAGCTACAAGGCTATTGTGCTGGACTTTTTTTTTTTTTTAAAGATTTATTTATTTATTTATTTTTTCCATTGGAAAGGTAGATACACAGAAAGAAGGAGACAGAGAGAAAGAAAATGTGGCAAGTTTGACTTCCTGTATTACCCAAGTAGATTTTCCAGGGTATCTGATTTTCCATGTATTCAAATGCCATTTCTCATCATTATATTTAATAAGCAATAATAACTTACTAAGAAATTAAAAGCTTTTAACTAGGCTTCGTTGTTGTATATTGTAAACTGTGTAACAAGAACACTGGCTATTTCTCATTTGTTCATTTGACTTCTTTGTCCAGTATTACAAATGTGGTACCCAGTTTGCATTGGTAACTCTTGGAACACTTGGTGCATACACAGCATTCACAGTGGCAGTCACACGATGGAGGTAAACTATTCCCCAGAGACCAGTAAAGGCTCAAAAATCAGTTATGCTTTTATAACACACATTTCATGCCTGTGCAAATCTTTGTCTTACAGAACTAGATTTAGAATTGAAATGAACAAAGCGGATAATGATGCAGGTAACGCTGCTATAGACTCACTGCTGAATTATGAAACTGTGAAGGTAATATGTTTAATTATACTTGCCTCTACCTTTCACACTGTGCTAGGATTTGTTCTGCCATTTAATTTAATAGGTGCTGTAAGTTACTGCTTCAGATTAGGATAGGATTTCTAGGTGTGATGGAATAATGCTGCTTGGTTCCTTTTCTTTTGTTTAAATATTATCCTTTCTTTTCTCCTTAGTAATTGTTTGGCAACATCAGAATTTTACCTTCTGAATTAAGTTATGGGTGATTACAAATATACAATTAACATCTTAAATCTTTTTTTTGTTTGTTTTTTTTGAATTTGAGCGGAGAGAGAAAAATACACTCCCATCCTCTAACTCACTCCCTAAATGCCTGCAATGTCCAGGGCTGGGCCAGGTTGAAGAGGGAACTCAGGAATCTGTGTCTCCTGTGTGGGTAAAAGAGAGCCAAGCACTTGAGCTATCACTGCTGCTACCCAGGGTCTGTATTAGCAGGTAGCCGGAGTAAGGAACCAGAGCTGGGTGTGGAAAAAATGTACTCTAGTATGGGACACAGGCATTTTATCCTCTAGTGCAAATACCTAGCCCCAATTCGTATGTGTATTCATAATGAGCACTAAGGTAATCCAACTTGCATGTAAACTCTTGGCTCTATTTTTCAGGGTGCCTAGAATATTCCTTTTTATTAATTCTTTCACTTATTATTTTTTCCATTTAACGAAAGAATTACTGTACGTTTCTTGTATACAAACCAATATGCTAAGTACTGTGATGAGGGGCTGGTGAAAATCATTTCCTGCAATGCCAGAATTTTATAATCTACTGAGTTCAAATCGGTATGCAGATGACTAGCCAAGAAGGCATAATGCTGTTATGGCAATTAGGAAGGACTATTCTGCATCTCAGGATCAGGGAAAGGTTTTGTAAAGGTGGTTTTATAGAAAACTTGGGGTTTTTTTTTAATGTTCTTTTAAAATTTGTATTACTTGGAGAACAGATTTCATGCATTCCATAGGTGTGGTTCCAAGAAGACAGGTACATTTCCCTTCCCTTCCCTCCCCTCCCCTCCCGGCTCTTCATCAGTTTTGCAAAGACATAATTGCAATCCACTACATATTCACTGGCTTCCTTCAGATTATCTAAGCATCCAGTAAATGTTTGTTGGGTGAAATTCTAAAAACTACCAGAGTACTGTAATCCAATGTATTAAATGGAATGTTCTTTAAATGGAAGCAAACAGTACAAAATTTTATCTATACATGGAATCTGATTGAAAGAATACCAATCAGTTAAGATAATACATGCCAATTATACTTGTCCATCACTGCTATTTTTATGTATTTTGTAGTATTTTAATAATGAAAATTATGAAGCACAGCGATATGATGGATTTTTGAAGACATATGAAGCTGCATCTTTGAAAAGTACCTCTACTCTGGCTATGCTGAACTTTGGTCAGAACGCTATTTTCAGTGTTGGCTTAACAGCTATAATGGTGCTCGCCAGTCAGGGAATTATGGCAGGTAATAATCTGTTGTTCTTGCATTTATAGACTGCTTAACTTAGCTTTTTAAAATAAATATTAATAAAAGGGATATGTATATTGGCTCTAAGTGTAAAAGATATTCCATAAAGTGCTTTTTGTCATTCTTTGGGTTTTGTGTATCACAATGTATACTTTTGTTTCATAATTTTTTTTTTTTTTTGCTTCCTTTTGTTTAACAGTGGCTCTTTCATTGACAGGAATTACCATGTTTGCATTTTTGTGTCCATAACCTAATTGCTTCAAGAACAGTTTTCTTTTTTGCATCTGATATTTCTAATTACATTTATGGACTTTGATAGCAATACAATGATTTCTTTTTTTTGAACTAGTGATAACTTTTTACTATATCAATTTTTAAAAATTTATAGACGATTCTATTTATTCTTTTTGAATTCTGTTTTATAGTTCAGAGAAACTATTCTTAGGAAGAAAGGAGAGATTTTTTTTTGCTTTCCATTTTTATCTTCACATTACATATACCAAGTATCCCATGTTATCTAAATCACAGATTAGAATGCTTTGAAATTGAGTAGCCCTAGACATTCCTAAATATGCGTATTTTGAATCATGTATGAACTTTTGTATTTTTTTTTCACCCTACCCGTAAACTTCTTCTATTTTAAACTGGAGAAGTTTATAACATTCAACTAAAATAACTTTTTTCTTCTACCAACTATATATTAAGGAACACTTACCGTCGGAGATCTTGTAATGGTGAATGGACTGCTTTTTCAGCTTTCATTACCTCTTAACTTTCTGGGAACTGTATATAGAGAAACTAGACAAGCACTCATAGATATGAACACTTTATTTACTCTACTCAAGGTAGACACTCGAATTAAGGTAAGTGACCTATGTGGTACCTTTTTAAAAGTACGTGACCATCATCCCATTGATAGAATTATTCTAGATGACAATTCTTACATTACTGTGTTAGCAAACCAGTTACTATTTAGTAAGAATTGGAGCTATCATATGTATTAAGGAATTGAAGATTTCACTTCTGTATTTAAATAAATATTTACATAATTAAATTTTTACAGTGAATAAAGATTATACTTAGAAACTGAAGTTTCTTAAATTGAGCTGTTTGTAACTGGATTTGCGTGATGTCAGATGTAAGACTGCCTTTTCTCTCATCCCTAGCCTTTTTATTTCTTTGCCCTATCCTCCTCACAACCCAGGAAGAAGTTACCTAGAAACCAAAACACTCAGGGTTTTTTAACATTAGCGAAAACCAGATCTTTATGCTTAGAAATGGTCTGACTCCACTTACAAATCTCCTCCTTCCTCCATTATGTTCTTTTTTTCTTGCTTTGTGGATTAGAAAATTGTCTGCATTAAGGTACTCTAGGCAGTGTGTAAAGTGGCTTTTTTTTCTTCTTTCCCTGCCTAGGACAAAGTGATGGCATCTCCCCTTCAGATCACACCACAGACAGCTACGGTGGCCTTTGATAATGTCCATTTTGAATACATTGAGGGGCAAAAAGTCCTTAGTGGATTATCTTTTGAAGTTCCTGCTGGAAAGAAAGTGGCCATTGTAGGAGGTAGTGGGTCAGGGTGGGTAATTTAGTTATTTATAACATTCTGCATTATTGTTTGAATACTTCTAGTGTAATATTTTTCTTTATCATGATAGAATGATTACTGTGGTTTAAAACAGAGGTTCCCCAATGCCAATGGAAGCTAAATAACCTTTCTTTATCTGCACTTTCAGGAAAAGCACGATAGTGAGACTGTTGTTTCGCTTCTACGAGCCTCAGAAGGGTAGCATTTACCTTGCTGGTCAAAACATACAAGATGTGAGCCTGGAAAGCCTTCGGCGGGCAGTAGGAGTAGTACCACAGGTATTTAAAAACAGAAAAAGTATTTGGAGGATGTATTGGTTGGTGGATCTGTAACTAGAATAATTTGAATCCAGTGAGTTAAACATATTTTAATGAAATGGGTGATGTTAGACCCTACATGTGAAATTCTGTTGCCAACACCCATTTTCTTAAAAGGGGGGAAAAATGAGTGGAAATTTTGCATGATTAAAAAACTCCAAAGGCCCAGAAGGAAAGCATAGTATAGAATGAAAGCACGGACTACAGTAAGGCTGATCTTGAATTTTTTGTTTTAAAAATCTTATTTTATTCGCCTTCTTGTTATTATTACTATTTGAGAGAGACAGGGGGAGAGAGAGTAAATAAGCTAGGGTGAGCACAGACACAATAAATCACTGTCTCCCAAATGCCTGCAAAGCTAGCAACCAGGAACTCAGTCCTTGTCTGCTACATGAGATGCAGAGATCCAATCTTTTTACCATTACCACTGCCTAAACATAAGCAGGAAGATGAACTCCAAAGTAGAGCCAGGACTCAAAACCGGGTACCTTTATATAGGGCGCTGCCATCTTGACTACTAGGCGAAACGCCTTCCCCCCAGACCTGGATTCCAACCATAGTTAGTTAGTTTTGTAGCTTTGGACCTATTTCCTCATCTGTAAAATAAGGATACCATTTATCTTAGAGAACAGGATTTTTATTTTATATTAGGAATAAGATATATATAAAGCATCAAATATAATATCTATCACATAAAAAAGGAGCATTATGCCTTTGAGTAGTTTCTGATGTAGTGAGTTTATAATAATTGAAACATAGTTTGGCTGCTCATCTCAGAATTGTGCGCCAATTTCAGCACTGTGCCTTAAGTGCAAAGAATAGTGCCTAACCTGTAAGTAAGTGTTTCTTTCATAAGCATTTGCTCAGTTACATAGTTGAGGGTCGTAGGCAGGAGGGGAATGTAAGCATCTGAGAAGACATGAAGTAGATAACATTAGAAATTGGAAATTTTTCTTACATTGAAAGCTTACTGAGTGCCCCGAGACTTAGTTGCAGTTAATATTTCTTATATTAGCTGTTAATTCCTGGAACTAGAATCAAATCCCTGGGAGAACAGGTCAAAATAAGAGGGAAGTGATGAGGAGGAACTCTGAGAAAATGGTTGGCCAGGGACATGTAGCTTGTAAATGACCCCCAACTGATTCAACACATGGCACTTTTCTATCTTTTCCTTTACTGAGAATCCCAAATGTTATGAGCATGAGTTCCTTAGAGATATTATTAAAGCACCAGTTGTGTTTCACACACCTCAGTTGTGATTTTAGAGGGCAGTATGGAACCCAGAAATCTGCATTTAAAAAAAAAATGTTTCCCAGATGTTGAGAAACACTGGCCTTAACTCAACGACAAATGGGTTGCCACTACTTTAGACTCAAGTGTGCTTAGCTGTGTAAATAGGTCCCTGCTATTCTCCTAGGCTGTGTACCAATTTTCCTCATCCTTTTGAAAAAAAAAAATGAAATGCCAAGTAAAACTGTATATAAACAGTAAATGAAATAGAGTCTCACTCTCATTGAAGCCTGTAGCAATATAAATTAAGTCAACAATGGTATGCCATTCTTGACCTTTAACATTTGGCAAAAATTTTCAAATCAATAATGCCTACTTTGGGAAAGGCTGTGTAAAATAGATGGTCTGTTGTTTTGCTGGTAGAAGTGTATACTTTTCCTGACAAGTGAATTGGTGATATGTGTCAGGTGCCTGAAAACTAATCCATGTCCTTTAATCCAATGATTCAGCTTCTAGAAAATTTTAGTAAGGAAATGAACCAACCAAGATGTAAATATACTTTTATGTACAAAGATGTTCATTTATGAAGCAAACGGCAGAAACAATATAAATGTCCAGTGCAAATGTGTGATTGAATTATCTTTGTGGGGGCAAGTGCCATGTGGTCTGTTATAAGCAGTAGGTTTTTAAAAGAATATTGGAGGTGTAGAAAAATAGCTAAAAAGTTTTTGAAAAAGAAGATGCCAAATAGAATAGACTATAAAAAAAAAAAGAATAGAATATCCACATTTGGTAGTATTGATGGATATGTGTAAATAGAGAACAAAGAGAAACAGGAAAATGTTAATTGGTTATATCCAGATGATGGAATTGTGGTTTAATTAGTTATTTAATTCATAAAATTTGTTATGTGTTTAAGGTGTACAACATAATATTATGGATACATATAGATTGTAAAATGGTTACTATAGTGAAGCAAATTACTGTGTCCTACAAATAACTGTAGCTAGTTACCTGCTTTTTGTCTGTGACAGGAGCTGCTAAAACCTATCCATTTAACAAAAATGTTGGGAAGGAAAGTCCTGTATTTTTATCTTACCTTATTTTTGATACTTCCATATGTTTCAGTTACCATCTGTTTGTTAATTTTTTAATAGAGACTATTTTTAAATATTTTTAAATAGTCTCTATTTTATAGATCTTTGCGCTTTGGAGTTTAAATGCCATCTAAATATGAAATATTTTATGTTAATAGTAGATAATGTAAAATTAAAATATTATTTGGAGTATCTGTATTTATCTGGTTATGTTGTTAAAGGAGATTTTAATTTGGTATTTCTCTTGATGAGAATCATGAAGACTGGGTTTAAAATAAGAGATGAATGATGCTAACTCTAAGTTTGTTTTAGTGTGCCATGTCAGAATAATTTAAAATATCAAGTGAATGTTTGAAGTAAATTCACATTATATATGTATGTGTGTATGTCTGTCTGTGTATGATAAATTTTCCGTCTTCTATATTTTAAGTCCAATATCAGAGCTTCTTAAGCACTTAGGAAAACGTGTTGAACCTCATTAGTAACTACAGAAATGCTAATTTAAACAAAAGGCATATTTGACCCTCCTAAAAATGATACCAACTCAAAAATGGTACCAATTCCAGGGTTGCTCAGGATATGTGCGATTCTCATATATTATTGGTTGCCTGTAAAGTATTTTTAAGTGGACTTACTGTTACCTTTTAATCCACCAAGCTACATTAAGAAATTCTTCTTACAGAAATAGTATCACAGGCACACTCAGTCATATGTTCTTATTCCAACATCGTGGTAGCATAAGTTAGGAAGTCACAGTAATGTTCATCAATAAGGGAATGAATAATAAATTATGATATATACATAGTATAGCATATGCAACTGTTAAAAAGAATGAGATAGTTTCTGTTACTGATGTAGACAATCTCCAGGATATGTGTGGTAAATGAAAAAATTAATAAGCAAAATAATATACATAGAATGACTCCACTTATGTGAGGAACAAAAACATATGTTGAAAGCATATAATATTCAGAAAAGGTCTGGAATGGTACCCTGCATGTGTTGATGATCAACTCTGGGAAGGAAATGGGATTATAGGGATAGGAGTGATGAAAGTACTGTTACATTTCATTTTTTATGCCTTGATATCTTTGATATTTGCAGTTTTTATAATGAATAAGTATGTATTTATTTATACATCTGTTTTAGGATGCTGTCCTCTTCCATAATACTATTTACTACAACCTCTTATATGGAAATATTAGCGCTTCACCTGAAGAAGTATATGCAGTGGCAAAATTAGCTGGACTTCATGAAGCAATCCTTCGAATGCCACATGGATATGACACCCAAGTAGGGGAACGAGGACTCAAACTTTCAGGTAATCAAAGATTTTAGACTTATCCCCACCTTGCTTATTCTCTTCCAACTAATTTGTCAGAGCCATTTTGTAGGAAGTTTAATAACAGAGTTCAAACCAATGCTCATCCAATCACATTTGATGACGTTTCCAATCTCCTACCTCTCACTGTAAATATTTTATCATTCTAGAAGTATGTTCTCAAGTTGCTTTTTTTTTTCACTTGGAACAGAAAACATAGTTACTTAATATTAGGTAAAATATAGGTAAATACTCAGGTGAGTGTACCTAGCAGCCTAATATATGATCATCAGGAAAGCCAGCTTTAATCTAGAAACAAAAGTATTGAGGGAAAAGAGCAGTAATTTAATGGTGAATAATGTATCTTCTTATTTTAGTATCCTACATCATTAGAGTTTGTTTATAATGTTTTTGGCCTTATTACACTTATCCTGATAACTGCTATGTTTTTCATATAGCCAGTTTCACTCTTCCTTGTTAGCTCAATGATCAATGAAATTTGGAGGCTTGTAAATTTCCAATTAAATGCTTAATTATGAGATTGCTAGGACAAAAAATGAATTACCTTAAAATGAATATTTTTGGAGAATTCATAAGGTTTTTTTTGCCCCAAATTACATTTATTCAGGAGTATAACAGTAGCTAATACTTGAAAGAATGTATTTCCTAGATACTTATTTCTATATTTAGGGATAAATGCGGGCAAGCATGTTGCAATGGGAAGAACCCTGGGAGTCAGTCAAATCCGGTCCAGATTCTACAGAGATTTGCTCTGTGTCCCTGAGCAAATCTCTATACGTTTTTGTGCCTCTGCTTCCTTCAAGTTGTAAAACTTTATAGAGACCTATAAAAAAATAACTAAGAGGAGGTAAAAGATAATTTAGTATATAACCTTAGCTTTGAAGAATACTGTGAAAAATAACAGCTTCCTGTCAAAAAGCTTCTTTGATAATATTGGCTGAATGTTTTTTTTTTTATGATACAATGTAAATTTAGATACTCAAGTTTATATCTTCCAGTTTCCAGTTAGGATTTTTTTGAGTCTGTCAACTCTGCAATACAAAAATTGTTACCTGCCCTCATCATTATCATTCTTTTTGCCTACCACGAAGTCAGATTTCAGTGTTAACATTTATGCTCCAGGGAATATTGTCAGAGGATATCATATATGACCTTAAACTCTACAACTAGTAAAATGAGCAGTGATCAGGAGTTTAGATAAATGTTGCAAGATATTACTTGGTGGTTGTGATCCATGGAAATGATGGAAACACACAGCACATCTTGCTATATTTCCTTAAGCTAAAGTTTTTCTTTCCAGGAGGAGAAAAACAAAGAGTAGCAATTGCAAGAGCCATTTTGAAGGATCCCCAAGTCATTTTGTATGATGAAGCTACTTCGTCATTGGATTCAATTACTGAAGAGGTAAGTGATGGTGAAAATATGAAACTCTTTAATGTTTGCTGTTTCTCCTTAGAAGTTGCAGTTAAATGGGTGTATTTGTATTTTAAATGAATTTCAGCAGTAGGTGCAGTAGAACACATTCTCTAGATCCTCCCCCGCCCCCGTAGCAAATGATGATGGTGGGAACCCAGACTGCATCACGATGTTGTTAAGTCCTCGTACAAATATGTCTCCTTTGAAACTGTGTGACACTTTGACACATTTTATGGTGTTATCCATGTAAGGATTGTCGAATAATATGACTAAGAAATTCTTTAGGTTTTGTTCTGCTGCCATTTCATGCCTATTAGAATAAATCATGCAAGTGATTTTAACACTGTGCCAGTGTGCACCATAAACCTTTTCACTTACAGAGTGACTCATTGAGGTACAGGTCAGGCACACACAACATGTGATGCTGTTGTCAACTTGTATTCATTTCACAGAAAGTGTTGTGAAGCACTAACATGTTGTGGCACTAGTATTGCCACTACCCAAGCAGCTACATTAAATTTCCAGACAACGTCTTTACATTGTATGCTGAAGTCTCAACACCAGTGATAATTTCACAACTGAAGCCTCTTAATCTGGAACCAAGGAAGGCAGATATCATTTGTCAGTTGCCTATATTCATCCAGCTTTTAGTTTAGTATATAGTATGAACCAAATGTTGAGGAATAGGCCTATTGAGGCTTTACAGGCTGTTGGAGATAATAGTGGCATAAAGAGTTAAGTTGCAGTACACATTATTTGCTCAACATAGTAAAACACTTTAATGTCTTTTTTTTTTGTTAACATTTTAATTTCAATGTCAATTGGCTAGCATAGGGTTTTGTTAGATGTAAAGTAAGCCCTCAGTATGCCAAGATTCCATTCATGCGAAGATTAGGGAATGAATGCATACAGGAACTATAGTTAAAAGTTGTACTAGCAATCATTATTTGGATCTCAAACTTTCATTACACCAAGCAGCATAACCCATGAAGAACTAATGGAGAACCCAAAGAGAACAAGCTGGTGGAAGATTGGTAAATTGTAATGAGCCTTTTTTTTTTTTTTTATTGTTCTGGAGTACTCAGTGGGATATTAACATTTTTGAGAATAAGGAAAAGTGGTCCCATAAACATCAGTTTCTTGGGATTGGCCCTTTACATGATTATGATTCTGCCATAATGCAATACAAACTCATTTTCTGAGTAAGCATCTGCTCTTAGTAATTCTATGCCTTTAAAAAATAAGGAAATGTCTGTAGGAAGCCTTTAAATATATTCCCTGCATTGTTTTTCATCCGGCTACTTAGAACCACCCCAACTCCTTAAATTGTAGGAGAGATCTTCACAAAGCAATAATAATGAAAGAAGTATGCATGAATTTAAAAAAATTTGCACCAAATTAAGCCTGTCTTTATACCATGAACTTCAAAAATTACCTCATAATTTATAATATGTTTTCCAGAATGCTTTTGAAAATGAGCTTTTCTCAAGTTAACAATAGCGTTGTCTCTGTGTTCCCTTCTATCTTCTGAATTTGAACTAAGAAAAATCCAATGTTCATATGTGTTCTTCCAGTTTTTATCTTTCATTGCATTATTTTTTTTCATAGAACAATTGGTTAATTTTTTTAAGTGAATGAGAAGGCTGTTTGGTTTTAAATAACATTTCACTATTTTTAAAGATGTATTTTTTTATTTATTTGAGAGAAACTGAGAGGGAGAAAGTAAGTAAGCTGGTTCACTTCCTGAATAGCTGCAATGGTTGGGGCTGGGACAGTCTGTAGCTAGAAGCCTGAAACTTCATCAGATCTCCAATGTGGGTGGCAGGGGCCCAAACATTTGGGCCGTCTTCTGTTGCTCTCCCAGGAGCATTAGTAGGGAGCTGGTTTGAAAGTGGGGACTCAAACTTTTACTCTGATATTGGATGTCAGTGTCACAAGCAGCAACATAACCTGATATACCACAACACTGGCCCCATATTTCACAATTTTTAAAAAATTAACAGGCATAAAATTCTTATATGTTTATTAATACTATGTGATTTTTCAATACCGGTATACATTGCCTAGTGCTTTGGGTTATTTTAAATTTCCCTGCATCCTATTACTTGACTTTCCCTTTATTTTAATTTATAAATATGTTTGGTTATTTCCTGATACCACTTTAGTTGTTTATTAATTATACAATATACTCATGTTCTCTAAGACTTTGAAAAATGTTGGCTATCACATTGATAACTTTTTTCCATGAGTATGTGGTCATATGTGTCTTCTCTTTTTTGCTTGTTATGCTTTTTTTTCTAATTATTAGATTTGATCAAATAAATGGTATCAAGTTTACACAGTAGGAAATTGCTATTTTATATGTTCCTTTAGGAAGTGTGTGATTATTTTAATATATGTTAACCTATTGGACACATGTTTTTTCCTTCCTACTCTTCTTGTCAAATTTGTAGGCTATTCTTAGTGCCATGAGGGATGTGGTCAAACACAGAACTTCTATTTTCATTGCACATAGATTGTCAACAGTGGTTGATGCAGATGAAATCATTGTCCTGAATCAGGTAAGAAATTAAAGTTTAGAATCTGAAAAACATTGGGAATTGCTACAGATACAGGAAACTTTACTATTCTTTTAAACTAAAATATACAGAATTTGCATTCTGACTGAGTCCTAGTAAGATTCTGATTTTAGCCCTTTTTGATAGGAAATAATACACATTACTTACAAGAGGGAATACACTGTATTTACTCACTTTCTATTGAAGTTTTCAGAGCAAAATTTGACTTTCAAGCATGTATAATAAAACAATTTTTCACACTTGTTTTCCCTCTGGATTGAATCCTTGCTCAATATTCTTGCTTTATTATATATTTTCACTGTTCTAATTCTGCATGTGCCCTTATATACAAAAGAAAATTACCATAAGATAAAGTGGCCATTTTCAAAACAACCATTTTTATTTTGTGTTTTTCCCTATGTTGAAACAAAGAGAAAAGACAACTTGCATTATCTTTTCTGAGGGAATAACTATACGAGTGTGCTATCTAAATGTATTGAACAAATCAGAGTCCTACTATTGTAACTGGTAGACTTGAAAATTGTAATAATTTTCCTTTTCTCCTCTCAGCAAGGACCTCTTCCTCCAACCCCTAGTACTTGATTATTTCTGACATTGTTCTGTTTTCCACCTTGCAGTCAGCCTTTTTCTGTGATTATTTTTTCCTTTTTAATAAATACATTCTCAGTTATTTATCATTTTGAAAGCCTGTATACTGAGAGTTCAGAGAAAAGAAGCATTCTCATGTGCTTTCTATATATTGAGTTATTGAGAGAGACTTTTTCACCCCACTAAAATTCATTATATGCTTCTCAGTGCTGTGATATAAATGCTGTTTCCTTTATAAGGCACCAGTACACGTGTATGATCCTCGGCCTCTCAGTTGTATGTTCATAAACGTTTATATTCATTAGAAAATAAACTGATGCTTCCAGCATGATTATACCAAAATGTCCTAAATTGAACATTTTATAGATATACCTTATTATATTGTTGGTGTTCAGGAATCTGAAATAAAATCTGTTTTGTGCTTTTCACTAAGCTTTCTAGCTCTATACAGCCATGCATTTGAAAAAGCAGGCCTGTACTTAACATGCCTCATGCCATGGGGTTCACAGTATCTGTACAGCTGTATCACAGTATTGCCACTTGACTTCGACATTATAATTGGAACTGACTAGTGATCATAGGCCTTGTATCTAAAATCTCTATGTCAGAAATTTGATGACGATAAAGTTGCACAATCATGAATATCAGAGATCTCCATTATGTAGTGAAATGAATATGACCCTAGTTTAAAATTGAGGAAATAAGATCAGAATAATAAGTATAAATCCGCAAGGATAATGATACAGGAAAAGCAGTAACAATGAACAAAGGTTATGGAAAATATAGCATTTTTCAAATAAGGAAAGATATTGTTAAGAAAAAAGTAAAGGAACTATAGCATAATTTCTGGAATGTAATGATAAAAAGTACGATGCAAACGGGATATCAGATGCTGTCTTTTATGAGGAGGATGCAGGTGGGGAATATGTAAGTGTGGTTATTTTTGCAAAAACAAGCTCAGTTAGAAAAAAGCAGAAACAAAAGAAACCAAATCTGCAGGGTGAGGTAGGAAAAGAAGGAGACTTTTTGTTATTTTACTTTTGAGTGTTTTGTATGTTCAAAAATAAAGCCAACAGAGTGAGACAAAAACAAAAATTTGGTACAAATAGAAGCAAAACTTTATCAAATTGTTAACAACGAAGAAGAAAAATAAAATCAATCATTCTAATTACGAACCCTTAGTAGAATAGATTTTAATAACAAAAGTAACTCCAAAGAACATTTGAATTTAATGTTTATTTTTGGTAGTAGTGTAAGGTTAGCATTTCTGAAGCTGTTTTGTATAAATTTTAGACTGAGCATCTGAGTAAATGTATTGATGTTCTTAAGAACTTTGTGATGATATATTGGAAGCAAGTTATCAGTATGAATTCATGATTTTAAACAAATGAGCTAAGATTCACTGAAAGGCCTAGAAGCTGTGAAAACCCACTATCAATGAGTGTACCTGGCATTGCAGATCTTAAGCAATTAAATACTTTTGTTCTTCCTTAAAAGAAGCCAAAACTCCTTGTAAATAACTGATCCAGTTCTGGAGCACGGGAGCCACTATACCCTTGTCACGAGGACACAAGACATTTTGAATGGGCTTCCACTGGCTAAAACAAAATAATGACACAAATGAATTAGGCAACAGTTGATTAAAGAACTATCTGTGCATCTGTAATGACACTTTAAAGCAAAGTTTGAAGAATGCCAGCTTACAAATATGTAAAAGGAAGTTAAATTTAGAAAATCACATTTTGTGACCACCATTACAATAATTGATTCAGGTAATAGAGACTCAGCAATCTTATACAATCCCACATTTACATTACCCCATTTTTCACTTTTCATAATGAGATAAACAAACACTGAACAAAATTTTGTGATATTATTGCTTCAGACATGAACACAGAAAAATTTTGGTTATTTTGCTTGAAGGCATATTTCTAACCATCCTGTCACCAGGAATACCAGTTAAATGACAAAATTCTTTTTGTCTCCCAGAATGTTTAACTGTAGCTGTCAAAAGACAAATTAATTGTAGATCAGAGTTTGGAATCTATATCACATCTATACAATGTTAAGTTTAATGGCAGTTGTTAACAAAAATAGCTGCTGCAAGAGGCAAACTTTTCATTTTCATGAAGTGTTTTTAATTTCACAGTATACATAAGGATTTCAGAATATTATTTTCAAATCCTTGTATAAATAACAGTGCTTTTGACTAGAATATTTGCTGATTACAGAAAATACCACTTCGTTGCCTTTTTACCCTTCCCCTTTTTCCTTTCAAAATGAAAAATAAAACATTAAAATTGCATTTTCTTTAAGTAAAATGATATTTACAGTTTGAAGAATTTCATAGCTTTCTGTTTGTTCGCTGGCTCCAGATAACTCAGTGAAGAAAAGCATCTCTACCTCTGTTGTCCCTACTTATACTGTGGGTGAGGAATTGGGAAATGTATTTTAATGAATTTAAATCCTTTAAATCCTTAGTTAGAAATGATTATGTATTTTTCAGTTATTGTGCTAGTTAAATGACCTTTTCCTGTGTTTCTTTTGTGTTTGACTTTTAGGGTAAAGTAGCTGAACGTGGTACCCACCATGATTTGCTTGCTAACCCAGGCAGTATCTACTCAGAAATGTGGCATACACAGAGCAGCCGTGTGCAGAACTATGATAACCCAAAGTGGGGTGCAAAGAAAGAAAGTATGTCCAAGGAGGAGGAAAGGAAGAAACTACAAGAAGAAATTGTCAACAGCGTGAAAGGCTGTGGAAACTGTTCCTGCTAAGCCACATGAGGCATTTTCTGTTTTTGATTTGGACTACGCATTAATTTGCACTGAAGCAGAATTGTTGCATTAAAAACAAATGCATACATTCCCATTTCTTAAACTCCTTCTTTCATGTGAGATTGAGCTAAAGTGGAATTCGAGGCTTGCGTCTTTGACGTGGTAACTGTATTTGTCCCCAAATTATCCAGAGTGTACTTATTGGATACTATTTGACTAACTACCCCGATACCTGTTTGAAATCCCTAATCTTATAGATCAGATATGATTTCTTCATTTGTGTAGTTTCTAACACTTGGGTATGACAATTGAGAGGGAAGGTGGCTGTTTCTTAATAAGGTTCCTTGTTTCTTCTTCCCCCTTCTTCCAGTTAAAATACATCATTGATGTGAAATGAATAGATAAGTATATTTAAAGACTTTGTCAAAAGTGAACACACATTCGTGGTTATGATATTTTCTTTGGTAGACACTGTATTTAACAGTTTTTTTTGAAGTATTTACTTCTGTGTATATTTTTGGAGGAAAGCCCAAAGTTTTCATGCCATTATATAATAAGGTGATAATTCATTAGTAACAGGCATGCTGAATAGTTACTAGTGATTGGAATTTTATTTTTTTTTGACCAAAATGAGGTATTGCTTTTCTTTTGGACCAGATCTTTCCATTTTTCTATAAAAACGTATAAGCCATGGTGTAATTTGAGGATTGCTATACTGGGAGTAATCTAAAAAGCTTAGGGAGTTAATGGCCATTTCTATTTCCATCTTAAAACACCACTTTTGCTCTTTGAAAACTGCACAAAAAAGTAAAAAAAAGTAAGTGAATAGGATATATGTCTGTGTTGCACATGCTCACATGTATGTAGAAGTTAATGTCCGCTTGTCTTTAAGTGATAATGAATCTAATCCAGTTTAACACTTGGTATTACTTCATTTCAAAAATTTTCCTTTTTTGATTTATTTAGTGAGTTCCTTTTAAGCCTAGTGTAACGAGGAGGCTAGGCAATATAATCACATTTTATTTGGGGGGTAGGGGGAAGACAAAAGCAAAATAATTTTACTGGGTAGAAATAATTAATTACTAAAATGTGGGTATATGTTCACTTAGGAAGTTCCCTCTTTTCTGATTTGGATTTGTTTTAATTTGCTTAATAGTAATCATTTTATTTGAGAAACATGGGTGTCATGAATGGGTACATAAATCATAGATAATGAGATTTTATTTCTCAGAGAAGGACCTAAAATATTTACTTCATTGGTTTATGATTTTAATGAACTTTCAGCAACAGTTTGATATGAGAAAGATTTTTTTTTTTTTGGCTTTGTACTATTTACATTGTTGGGTAGATACCTAAATTTACCTACCACAAAGTATCAACTGTTGTTATATAAAGGCAATTTGATAAGTAATTTGAAGGCAGTATTTCATAGTTAGTATTTGACCCAGAGTAAATTTATTGTTAAGATTGGTTTTCTTTATTTGAGAGGCAGAGTCAGAGAGAGAGAGAGAATCCACCAGTTCACTCCCAAAATGACCACAATGACAAGGGCTGGGACAGATATAAACCAGGAGTTTCATCTGGGTCTCTGATGTGGGTGCAGGGTCCCAAGGCTTTGGGCCTTCCTCCACTGCTTTCCCAGGCCATTAACAAGGGAGCTGAATCAGAAGTGGAGCAGCTGGGACTCCAATTGGTAGCCATGTGGAGTGCCAGTATCAGAAGCAGTGGCTTAACCCACAACTATACTGCCACACCTGTCCCTGGATCTTGCTTTTAAAGTCACAGTCAACTTGGAGGTGCATAATCAGCTACAAAATGAGTTGGAGAAGGGGAGGGGTTGTTTGTTTTGACTTTTCTTAATCTGAAGCCAAAGGCGTTCTACTTCCTTTAAATAAACCAGCTGCATTACTAGAAAGGTGATTAAAGTCTAGATTGATAGTTTGCATCTTTGTTAATTCCTCCTGTACATTTCCAGTGTTGCTTGTGGAAAAGATTTAGCTTATTACCTAAACAAGCAAGTAAGATTGAAGTAAAAATTAGTAATCATTCATTCTGAAGTGTGAATAGCAGTGTTCAAAGTAAGTTATTTTGTGTGATATGGGGAATATTCAGTCCAAGGGGGTATGAATGTTTTCAGGGTGGGAATAATTTCCCTAATAAAAGATTTCAAGCTATTTTCTTTTGATATTATTGCAGGTGATCCCAAGGCCATTGTCGTCATTAACCAGTTTTTCCAGCTAATAAAAACTTAAATTACCTGAAAAACACAGTTATTGTTGGGGCTATAACTAAGTCTTAAAGACATTTCTCTTAACCACATTCTATTAAGGTGGTTCTATACAGGGAAATAATAGACAAATTAAGCTGAAAATAAAGCTTCCTAAGATGATTCACTCAAAGGAAATGCCAAGAAAAGGGCATTTAATTATAATGCACTAATTTTACATTACAATATTATATACGGAAAAAGATGAAGTATATGAATTTCTAAATCAGTGTTATAACAATGTTTTAAAGGTATTGGGATGAATAATCTGCAGTTTTAGAATGCGGCTCTGAAAAATGGACTAATGCAGTTTTATTTCTTTTAATATACCTTTTGGAGAATGAAAGTTTTACTTTCTTCCTAAGGGAATCCCAGTTTACAAAAATTAAATTGAAGCCAAGGTAATTTGAGATCATAAAAACTGGGCCACATGCCAGACTTAACATAGAAATATCTTGGTGAGCAGATGGACTCAATTGGAAATTTTGAACAGCCCAAATCTGAGGGTCAATTCCAAGAATCAGAAAGAGGCTTTAGTATTCGGACATGAACATGCTCCAGATATGCAATTACTTTTCCTCTGTCAGGATTGGTGCCTTTTATATACCTAAGGATGAATATGTTGTCTTTCCCTTGGATGTTGACAAAGTTCACTTTGTAAGAATACCTGTTTTAATAAGGGCAAGATATTTAAAGCTTGTTCTGTATCATTTTGTCCATCCTGCCTGCCATTTGCCCATATCTTTCCTGCTTGATGACAGAGTGGGTCAGTGAGTAGCAAATTTTTCCACTGTGTATTCATAATTTTCTTCCCTTGTACTTTATTAAAGGTGATCTGTTGTACATTAGTATTCAAATGTGAATGGATTTGGATGTTTTTGCACCTAACAGTCAACTTTATACAAAAGTCCCTCTCTCCTTTCTTTGAGTATGTAGATTTTGAGTGTAAATTGTATAGCAAACAGCAGTATGAAGTCAAACTGGTGAAAGCTGGTTAGTTGAGACAAAGCAGCTCAGCCAAGGAGGCCCTTTGCCACAATTAGTGTAGCTAATCATTGCTACATAAACATCATGTCTTTGTGAGTAAAAATGGGTGTCCTGGTGAAGTCACTTTTCTGCAGTGCTCAGAGAAAACAGATATTTTGTCATTTACAAATTAAGAATAAGTACAGATAATTAATAGATAGTCTGGGGCAATGGCCTTACAGCCTTATGCAGAGGGTGAAAACTTGGCATTGTTTCAGAGGAAAAGTAATTCTTTGCAGAGCTCCTAATGTGATAAAATGGTAGTAAATTATAGCGCTTTCACCTAGTATTAAGCTGTCATATTTCTGATGATGAATCAGTGAAAGGCCCCCGTTCTCAGTTCTAACAGTTAAAAAGGAAGCCTTTTGGTGGAGAAATGTTTTGATGGCGTACTGTGTGCTAAACTAGCATTTTGATTAGTTAGATGCAGTTGTAAATGAATCATATTCTAATTAAAACAGACTGGAACATTTTTAGTTAAAAGTATCAGTGAATTATTTGTTTTCATATTTCCTGTCTCACACAGCTACAATACGGTGTTTTTTTTTCACCGGTGACTTTTTATTCTGTTTCATAGAATCAAGATTTTAGAGTTGGAAGTCATCACATTTAATTCTGTAGTTGAGGAAATGAAACTTCAAAAGAAGTCATTGAGCTTGCTAGAGGCCAAATTGGAATGAAAAGCCCGACTTCTGACACCCAATATATTCTTCCTTATGCTGTATCACATGTCCACTAAAAAGTTACATTATAAAATAAACTGAAGAGGGCCCAGTACAGTGCCCTAGTGGCTAAAGTCCTCACCTTGCCTGCACCAGGATCCCATATGGGCATTGGTTTGTGTCCCTGATGCCCCACTTCTCTTCCAGCTCCCTGCTTGTGGCTTGGGAAAGTAGTTGAGGACAGCCTGAAGCCTTGGGACCCTACACCCATTTGGGAAAACTGGAGGAATCTCCTGGTTCCTGGCTCCTGGCTTTGGATCAGCTCAGCTGGCTGTTGTTGCCACTTGAGGAGTGAACCAGCAGATGGAAGATCTTTCTTTCACTGTGTGGATCTGATTTTACAATAAAAATAAATAAATCTTTAAGAAAGAAAAAAAAAACCCTTAAAATTGGAACTTCTGGAGTGGTGAAGTAAAGGGCTCAGTAGACCCTCTCCCCAGCAAAGAAAGAAAACTTGTTAAAAATCATTTTTTAAAAGAAAAGCAATCATGTAAAATAATTGAAAACTGTTCTAAGGGCATTCAGGAAGTGGAGAAACATTTTTTTCAAGATAATCTGCTATACCTTAAGGACAGGAAGAGATTTTTGGACTTTGAGGAACAGCCTGCTGCATATCCCCTACTGCACCAGGACTGTGACTTTAAGAGCTCCACCCTCAGTGCTGTATTCTAGGCAGGTGTGGTGAAAGATGATGGGTAGATAGGGCTCTCACCCATCTCAGTTGCTACTCTGGGGCTACAGTTTCACCTTGCTGTCTGTATTTTTCATCTCTACTCCCTACCCTGTGTTGCAGAAACTGCTCCACACAGCTAAGGAGAATTCTTTCTGCTACCCAACCTTTCTCCCACTCACTTGGGTTGTTTCTTAATCTGTTTTCTTTTGTTATAACAAAATAGCTGAGACTGGGTAATAAAATTTTATTTGGCTCATCATTCTGAGTGCCTGGAAACCCAGGAACATGGCACAGCATAAGGTGAGGGCCTTCTAGCTGCAGCCTAACATGGCAGGGGTATCATATGATGAAACAGAGTAAGCTTGTCAGCTCAGATCTCTTCCTCTTACAAATCCATCAATACCATCATGGAACTCCATCTCATGAATCCATCTAATCGGAATCTTGTCCCAAATACCACGAACATATAAAGTTATGGATTAAATTTCTGGCACATTAGATTTTGAAGCAGACATTAAAACCACAGGGGAGTCGAAGTTTATTCCACTCATGTTCTAATTGTTTTCAAATCCTACCTTGCTCATAGGTTGGAGTTTTCACTCAGAGATAGGTAAACTGACAAATACTGGGAACTTAAACACACATCCCCCACTGCCTTTGAGTTGAGTAAATGGCTTTACTGCACAGAAGTGGGCCCCACCTCCAGCTCCAGTGTAGTGATGCAGATGTTCTGCATA